AGGGAAAACACTAGCAATAGGCAGTGGTACGAACAGCAGCGACCTTTTGTACCTGTATTAAACCTTTGTGTGCTCGACAAGCCAGTCGAGTACTTAATTGCCAAGAAATCAGAAATGTTATAGTCAGTGGTATTATGTGATCCTCATTCTCTAGAACGCAAGTTCAGTCTTCTAGGCAACACTTAATCATGGGCGAGAACTGCAGCAGGCCGACTCTTGTACGGTAGCAAAGTAGAGTTAAAAATTATATTGTAGGTATGCATTTCAGTTAAGGTACACTAAAGACATAGCGTTTCCTTCACACAGTGAAATCTGTAGCAAAATTTAACTGCTTCCTACTGATCTCAGGAAATAAAACAAATTATTCTTCAGGAGGGTAGTAGATTAAATTTTTCAGTCTAATATATAGCAAATAGAATCTCAAAGCAAGAAACGTGCAGATTTTGGATGAATATTTCTAAAACATCTTTCTTTAAATGTAAGTACAGGTTAGAAAGCTTTTTTTTTTTTTCCCCTAAGCTCATGTTCTTCTCTTCATGATGATGCAACTCCATAAAGTAGAGAATTTAACACCAAAAAAACCCCTACTTTTCATTTTTAGTTTACTACAACCAGATATAATGTTTTACAAGTTTTCTTTGCTTTTGTTTTGTATTATGCACACTCAGGCACTTACACACATTTTACTCAAATATGTTTGGTTACTCAGCATTCTTTCCTGGTTCTGTAGCTCTTCTGGATATACATCCTGATTTAATATTTCTTACTTAGACTAAAATGCATGAAAAATAGTTGAAAATTGAGAACTAGCTTTCTTAATACATAAGAGTTCCTTTTCTTCCCTATTTGTCCCTTTAATATAGAGAGCATAACACTTGAACAACTTAAATTATCACTGTTGTGACTTGAATATCTGATTTCAACTTTTGGGAAAACAATAGCAAAAGCAGGTCATTAAAAATAAAAGTACTCAACCAAGTCCAATTCTGCTACACCTTATTATTTCCTTAAATATTTACATAAAAGAAAGAGTTGGGTTTTTTACTAGCAAATACAGCAGAAGGGGGGTGTTATGTAATAAATATAATATGTAATAAGTATTTTGAATACAGCTTGAACGCATTTCAAAGAAGTACTGTGAAAGAAGCTAGACAATAGGTTCCCTGATGACCTGTACAAAACCCAGTAACAGAGGGAAGCGAGGGTTAGAACAAGGATAAGGGGTTGTGTTAGGTCAGAGCAGAGAGGGTCGCTGAGGTGAGACTCCCCTCCCAGCACAGATGACTTCCCGGTATTTGAACTATGGGGTCTTTTGGTTCAGGAGAGGGTGTTTGTTTTAAACGTGTAACCTGTGGGTATGTGCGTGAAGATACGGCCTATGTTATCGCTCCCGTGGTGACTTACAGGTTAAGTCATCAGCATGTTTGTTTGAATAATTACAAGTGTTAGTAGTAATTTAACTACCTTTCAAAAACGTTTTTAGAAAAATGGGGAAAAAATCCCTCTGTACACTTCTAGGACACACTGCCTCCTTTGGAATTGAATGGACTGTATGTGATCAGCAGGCTCTGTTAAACTGCAGAGTTCTGCACAACGCTCAGCTCGCCTAGTCTTGAAACTGCTAAAGCATCTCTATACCTTACACCTTGTTTACAATATAGCTGCCAGTTGAACGGCCTCTTTATGACTGAAAATAAATGCGCTTTCATACTAAGCATTTATGTATTTTTAAGATTAAGTTTTTAACTGATTTAGAAAATGGTTTTTGCTTGAATTATTTGTAAATTTCTCTCAACAGATGGACGACCTCAGTGGGAGGTAGAAGGGAAGATAATTAGGGAAAAGTGTCAAGGGGTGAGAAACAATTTTTCTTACTTGCTAAAGCTTTCTGTTTTAAAATGAGAAACAAGACATCGTCTTTGTTGTTCTGAAATTTAGACTTCATTTAGTAAAGTAAGTAGACCATTGGCTGATTTAGGCTGATTCAGACAGATAGCTGGAGACCTCTCAATTAGCTTAATACTATAAAGTAGCCATTAAGATGCTGCCTTGAAGGAACTGGAAATGGTACGCTTGTGAAAGCAATGAAAAAAGAAACTGAAAATTGAAAAAAGAAAACTGAAGATAATTTTGCTAAGTTAAGAAATAATTTCCAGTACGTTAAAATTTTTCTTAAAAGCTTAATGATCCAAAATGTAATTCTTTGTTAGAGGATTTTTTTTATGCTCTGGCAGATAAACCAAGCATCCTTTAGCTGATGTGTCTATCTAATTAAAAGCATTACCTCAGAACACTTGTGTTTAAAAGAAGAAAAAAGTCTCTAAATAAAAGTTCACTTATAGTACTGTTTTACTATGTAATATACATAAACTTGAAGTTTACCAATTTCAAAATACCAGTTTGCTTTAGTTTTGCAATAAGTGGTTTATGTTTTTCTGTAATTGAGGGTAGTTTTATTTGCATGTGACATGTGAAACTTTTTTATTTCAACTTTCATACAGGCAAACATCATACTTGAAGTTCCTCCATACCATAACAAAACCATTACAGCTGCAGTTCAAGTCCAGTTTTATCTCTGCAATGGCAAGAGGAAAAAAAGCCAGTCTCAACGTTTTACTTATACACCAGGTATTAAATAAAAAAAAAAGTCTGAAAGTTGCATTTTATTTTGTTTTTCAAAGTAGACATTTGAAAGTAATTCAGACAGTCTTCTACCTTTGACAGGTAGATAAGAGTAGCTTTGAGTTGTTTGTAAAAAACTTGCTTAAGCTTGTCTAATTAAAAAGTGGAAGTTTGAAGTAATAAGCTATGATTACAGCTAGGTATTTCTCTGTTACACTTTTTACAGAATAATGTGCATTCTACTTTTCTTTGCAAATCATAGTGATTCGCAGAAGCCGACCTTCTAAATAACCCTAGTGATGACACGGAGGATAGTGAGATCATAGAAGAACAGGTTTTACGCATTTCCCCCCCGCCTCAAATGTCAAAAAACCCCAGGCTTAGATATGAGATAGATAAAATACTCTTCCCCCCTGCTCCTCTGGACACATTGCAGCTTGTTGAAAGCAGTTTGTAACTTAGCCAGAAGTGAAAACTGTACATGTTAACTGTACATGTAGTTAAAACTACTTAATCCCTTCCATTTGGTAGGAGGAAGTGCAATGCAATGCCTACTCCTTTGCCCGCCACTTACCGTCTTTTCTTTTGAGAAAGTCATACCCATTTAGAGCAGTCAGAATTCCCAAGGTACCGGCACTAGACCCTTTAGTTCTGTTTGGAGGACTTGAAGTCAGGTATCTGAGAGAGTCTTTAAACTCAGATATTAATGTAAACTTAACACTAATCTGTATGCTGACAAAGCCAACTACCATTAGTTTATACTATTTAAGTAAGTTTTGTTTGCTTGCGCTCTAAAATGACCTACTTCATGCACAATTTAACCCATGTTACCTGTCTATTTGGTACACTAAGTATATATTAATAGTGTTATCAGATTTCTGTGGTATTTTTCAACCATTCCTAAGAATATCAGCTCCTAAAATAGTTACAAGACACATCTTAAACATCTACGTGTTACAAGACACATATTTTTTTCTTTGAAAAATCCATATTTAAATTCTTTAAATGGTGATGTGAAGTAATGAAACTTACGGCTTAAATAAGAAGCAAATTTAATTATAACTGCAGCTGTTACTGCACAAACATTTTAAAATCTATTTTATCTGTAAATATTTATAACAGTTTATTTAACAGTGTATTGTATAAAGTAGCAATTGAGTGGTTAAAAGTTAGTGTTTTTCTACTGTTTGTACTTAAAATCAGTATCTTTTCATGAGTTCACCAGTAGCTTAAAAAAAAAAAACAAACAACAACAAACTGTAACTGAAAGTGTGTCTGAAATTTGTAACTCTCTGGATTATAAGAACAATTGTTTCTGTCATTGAAATTGGGGGATATGCTGAAAGAGATGCTCTAATTTAAACAGGCACTACTCAAATTAGTTTAACAGTGTTGCCAAAGTTCAGCTGTCATCTTGATCAGAGGCTAAGGAAAGTTTGAAGCCAACTAAAAATCTAATTCCCCTTTTCCCAGTGCCCGATACTGAACTCTTGTCTGCCTGTTTTCCACGGGGCCTCGCAGGAGCCCTTCCCCCCTACCCCTGTGATGAGCTGTACCTTGAGCTGTACTGCACTTCTCTCCGGCTGGGTTGCAAATGCCTTTAAAAACATACATTGCATAGGAGAGTATTTTAGAAGGGAAGATACCTGCCTTTGAGTAAATGCTGGGAGAGCTCTACTGGCTTTTAAGGGTTAATATAGCAGGCATAAAGTATATAAAAAAAAAAAATTGAAAGCAGATCAAGATATTAGAGCAAGGACATTAACAGTACAGTTGTGGCTGTTAAACAGCAGTTAGTGTGTATTTATCACAGTGTACAGTTGGGTTGGAATTGTAATAGTGTTTTACTTTTTCTAGTTATAATGAAGCAAGAGCACAGAGATGAGGTGGATTTGTCTGCTGTTCCATCTTTGGCCCTACCTCACACAAGCAACGTCCAGGGCCTGCATTCCATCCGAACTCAATTGCCTTCACCAGAGCAAGGGCATCCACGTGACAACTTACTGTCTACGTCACCCAGGAGCCTTGTGTGTCCAGTTCAACCTCCGTACACAGCAATGGTGACCTCAGCAGTATCCCACCTGCCACATATGCAAGGTAGAAACCTTAGTCCAAGTGAAGAGTGTCATGTTTTGCCTCCTGCTGTGGTTCAGTCTTTTCAGGTAACATCAGCACCTCCTGTGAGACCTTCTTACCAGCCTATGCAGTCTAATGATGTATACAATGGACAGTCTGGTCTTCCTATGAACTCTGCCTCCAGCCAAGGATTTGATACTATTTCATTTCAGCAAGACACAGCTGTACCTCATTTGATAAATCTTAGCTGCCAAGCTCTACCACCAATGCAGTTTCATTCTTCAAATCCAGCTTCTGTAAAAAAAGCAGGGCACCCTCTAGCACACCCAGCTCATTCGGGACAGTCGTCTTCTCACCTACCGTCGATGGGATACCACTGCCCAAGCGCTGGGCAGGGCTCCATCCCTTCTGCAATGGGTCGGTCTCTTGGGCAGTCTTCTCCCCAGCTGCAGCAAGTCCCGTACCATTCTACAAATCCAGCATCCGCTTCATCCCCATCCCCAACAGCTTCCCACCCTTTGGTCCATTCGCCGCTCTCTGGACCTTCTTCCCCCCAGCTCCAACCTATGCCTTATCAATCTCCTAGCTCAGGACCTGCCTCATCTCCCCCGCCAACCACTGCAAGTCACTCGGGACAGCACTCCCCTCAAGCACATAGTCCAGCATTGGGAGGTCTTAATGCGGCGTCATCCCTAGTGCACCATCCCGTATGCGATTCATCTCCATTTTCACCAGATGGGGCAGCTATTAACATTAAACCAGAACCTGAAGACCGAGAATTGAATTTTCAAACAATAGGACTACAAGACATCACGCTAGATGACGGTAAGTGGATATAATATACCAGGATATAATGTGGTCTTCCTATGGATATAATACCAGGATATAATCTACATTAAACTACAGTGTGGGAGGATTGTGGTGTTTTGCTTAGAACACGCTACTTTTCACAGAAGTAAATTTGTATCATCAAAATGAACTCATATTTTTGTGTCCAAAGCAACGACTTATTTAAAACTAATGATATCAGCTGCAAATTTGGAGTTCTACAGGTCAGCTGCTTTAGTCTAATTTGCCCATGGACTTTCCTTTTGTCCTAAAACAGGGCTTGAGGATTAAATCCTACACATTGACACCTTATATACAAGGAATTAATTTGAAGCCTTTTCTGATTGTATTGTTCGTATGCTTCACTGAAAGTCATAATAATATATCTAAGTTGCATAAATGTAGTTTGGAGTCTTGTTTCTTGGAGTTGTCCCAGTTTTGAAGGGCAGGCTAGTTTTCCGAAGATACATCCCATGCATTTTAGCACTGTCTTAGTCTCTTCACAGACATCCTGTAGATATGCTGTCATCATTCAGCACCTCTGCTCACACTAGCTGTTTGCCTTCCTCTTACCACTCGGGCTACCTGTTTGAGAAATTCGCTTGTTTAACATAAACAGAACAAGGACATTCTCATGCTAAAGGCCAGGCTATAAAGTTCTCTACTTTAAATACCTGGACAGTGTTAATTTACAAAACTGGTCCAAGGAAGTGAAAAGAGAGATCCTAAACAACTATTGGAGGCATAGATGCAAAGCGACTTAAAGAACATCATGTTAATAAGACTGGAAGAACAGAAGGCCTGGCCCGAAAAGGTGTGTAAAGGTGTTTGATATTGATGATGGGAATCTTACTAGTATCACTTTTCTACTGTTGGGGGGTTTTGGGAGGTTTTTTTTTTGATCATCCCTAGGAATTACTTATTCATATCAGCAGCAGTGTAAAGATTTAAGTGTAGGCCATCTGTTAAATACCCATGTAAGTCCCAGTTCCTTGCATAAATGGAGCTTTGTCGTTGTTACTTCCAGTCAGTAGTAAGAAAATTTAGTAAGAAATGCCTTTAAAGACACAGCATACTAAGAGGAAAATGAGAGAAACTGATGCTATAAAGTGGGCTTTTGGTTAAATGGCCACCCTAATTAAACAAAGCTCTCTATTCAGAAACACTATTTATCAATCACCTTAAAACTATTTGGAAAGGAAGAGACTGATTCAATCAAGGACTGGCTGAGGGGAGAAGAGCAAGGCTTTATGAAACAGAATGCAACAAAAAAAAATTAGCGTTTTCTACTTCTGTACTGGAGGAGTGAGAAAAATCTAATGTTTCAAGAAGTGTCATGTTAGAACCTACCTTTGTCATCCTTCTTCCCTCCATACCCACAAAAAAGATGTAGAAATAAATAAAATACAGCTAAATACTATAGTTAAGCTTTCATAATATAAGCAGAAGTGTTTAGCAATTTAGGAGCATCTTGGCAGTTTGTTTATACTTGTTCAGAAATTACAATGAATGCACAGTAAAAAGAAAGCCATTTTTTCTCCCCATATCACAAATTAATTACCTGATTTTAGAAAGTTGCTTAACACTTTGAAATTACTGAGTTGTTTCTGTGCTGACAAAGACATCAAATCACCAAAAAAAGCTGCAAGAGGCACACTTAGAGTGGCCACTTGCTAGTAGTTTAGAGAAATATACATATATCTATATATACATACACACATATGTATCGATATACATATGAATCAAATGGCCCCAGCTTTATTAATTTCTTTTTTAAATAAAGCTTGCTGTAGAAGTTTAAGAAAGTCTGATAATTGGTGATTAAACTATACGCTTCCTATATAGAAAATTGAACGTGGTTTTAAATGCCAGACTAGCACTTGACAGTAACGATACGTTTGCAAACATATAGAGATTACCTTCATTTCAGTTTCACATTACCGCCATTTGGTGATTGCTTGGGGGGTGGGTTTGGGTTTGGTTTTTTTCATTTCCAATCTGCAAATACGAATCAGATGTCTGGCCTGAAACCTGCTGTTCCAAAAATCTTGAAGGGCATAGTGACAAGAAACAAGCTGCTCAATTCTTTCAACATGAGTAAATACTTCCTCTGATTAATCAGCTTTAAATAAAAAAAACATGTTTAGACAGGAACACTTTTTTTTTTATAATGTATCTAACATATTACTGTGCTTTAAAAAAAAAAAATCAAAATTTTTTTTATCTACATTTGAATTTTATTTTCCGTACAAATAGAGCTAGACACAAATAGCAAAACAGTTCCTCTACATTAATGTTATAACAATTAAGGAAAAAATCCAAACATAATTGCAGACATAAATGAATGTTGATACAGTATGTTCTCCCAGCTAATATATCAAACCTGAAAGCTATATTTAGTTGGAAAATAGGTTTTTAAGGGTTACCAATTAAGGCAAATAAACCTCTCAAAATAAAACACTAAGGCAAAGCCTATTGAAAATTTTATAAATCATGTCTGGATTACTGACTTTAAATATTTAAGATAGTAGTCTTAAAAAAAGTAAACAAAAAAAGGCAAAAAAAAACCTGACAGCGTAATCGTTTCTTTTAAGTAATGTGCACTATTTCAAAATTAGCATAGTAGGTATTTTCTTTGCCGGGAAAATAAAATATTTTAAGAAATTTTAACAAAAATTGAGTGTAATATGGAAGTGCTACACCTCATGATAAGGTTAGTCCCGGAATTACTAAGCTGTTTAGGCTTGACAGAATATGATGTAAAAGTCTTTAACAAACAAACAAAAACTCCCACCCCACCTAAAGGAGTGGCAGTCTGGATAGTAGTTACATAAATTCCTTTAAGCAAGACTCCTAAAAGTGAATCTTGCTGCCTCTTCAGTCAACATTCAGGCTTTTCTTTAAAACACACAGAAAACCCCAAATCCACTACTTAATACAGAACTACAGAGCTGCTTCATCCATGGGTGCTCAAGCCAAGAGCATCGGGATTAGTCTTGATCCAGCACCTCCTGGAAGGTGTAACACATCTGGATTCACCATTCATAGCTTCTCTGAATGACCAGAATGGAGTATCTTTTTCAATGTTGCTGTATTCCTTTGCCCCTTACCAGTTCGAGCAAGCTGGGCTCTGTTCAGACTGTGAGTGAAGAGGGATTACCTAATTTAAAGGCAGATCCTCTACCTGGCTGTCTGCATAAAGTACACTTCTTCCCCTGCCCCACCCCCACCCCCTTTTCTTTTTTTAGCTGAAGTTTGTGTGGCTCTTTGTTTTCTTGTTTTTCGACAGGATCCAATCGATGTCTTTAGGCTTTTCTAGTCTCCACCTTGAATTTGCTCGTGTTTTGCCTTCCCCTCTTCCCATCCTGGCTTCCTACAGGAAACACTTTCTAATTCACTTGAAGAAACAAGGGATCAAAAGGGATGAGGACACCGAGATAGGAAATTCAAATGATATTACAGAAAACATTTCAAACATAATGCCATTTCTAATCAACTTGTACTGTATGCTACTACTTAAAAGGTGTTCTGAAAAACAGTACTCTCTTCTGCTTAGGCTGTTGCAATAGTCACATCTGCACAAGCTGGTAAACTTTTGGACTGGACCTACATAAAAGCAGCTTCCTGCTCTTTCTTTGTCCCCTCTGCTTTTCCTCCCCCACCCTGCTATGTTGGACCTCCTTTTTCCCTTCACATCTTTCAGCAAGTCTGCCCTCTGCTCAACTCCCCAGGCTGACATTTCCCTCTACAGACAGCGGAATATTTAGGGCTGCAAATAGGTGTAAACAAGGCAGCTGAAATGAGAAGAATTTTTTTTTTCCTCACTCTCATTTTAAAAAGTGCTCCTAGTGTGGTGGTTTACCTATCCCACTGTCAAATTTTAGATTTAAATCTATTCTAATACTGTTGATCTAAAATTTAATCTCTTGTGGTTTGCAGTTTAGGAGTGAGTTTACCTTGGATTTTATGGCTTTCTAGAGTGATGAGATTTCTAACATGTACAACTGTATTTAACCATTTTTAAGGTATTATGTTAGGCTGTATTGCAGCAAATCAGGATGACCTTCTACTAATCCTCTTAAATTTTGTTACTCATTGCATCTCCATTACATAAAGCTGGAGATTAGAAAATCCAGTATGTGCATTTACAATAAATCAAAACTAGAAATCCTCTAACCGTTTTGTGTACATAAAGCAGTAAGTCTGCTTTGTCAGACACATTCCATGTAGAATTCTAAGCCATTTTGCATTCATTCATTTTAATAGTACTATGATAACTCTCTTGTTGATAAATTCTCGTGCTGGGAAGCTCAGAAATTATTCTGATCTTTGCTAGAAAATTTGTAAGTCTTTACAGGTAGCTTTTTACTGTAGATGCAGCTTAATTTCTGGAGAATCACAGTAGTGACTAATAAAGTATTGGAGAATTAAGGCAGCATCCTGCCAAACAGAGCATCGAAGGCCTCCAGAAACACAAAAAATACCAAATGCTAGAGTCTAGCTTAGTATGGAGCAGATCAGCTCAAAAACCTTTCGTCTTGCCAGTGCAACTCAAACTTGAGATGTTTTTGAGACGTGCATCTCAAACTCTAAAGTTTTTTTTACTGTCAGCTAAGCACAGAACAAAATGTTGCATCTTGCAGCGTGCCTGACATGGATTTGTGTGACAAGAACTCTAGCCTATGCTGCACACAGAACTCTCAGAATATTCCTGTTGATAAAAGGCATTCCAAAAATTATACTAGTATAAATTTAATAAGGGTGTGTTCAAACTTCTCCTTTCTTAGTATTCGGCATATTAAATATATGTTGTCAAGCAGTATGGAGATAGCAATAAAAGCAGTTCACAATTCTAATTCTTGTCATAAAGTTTATGGGCTCCTGCAGTGAGATGTTGAGGTGGAGTAAGGTGATAAGGCAGAACCTGAAAAGTATTGGAAGAGAATGGGAATCTACTTTTAGAAATAGGTAAGTGTTACGAATGAAACAGAGAACGA